TTGTCTTGACTTGTCTTGTCTTGTCTTGTCTTGTCTTGTCTTGTCTTCTCTTGTCTTGTCTTGTCTTGTCTTGTCTTGTCTTGTATTGTCTTGCCTTGTACTGTCTTGTCTTGTCTTGCCTCCTCCTCCTACTACTTTTACTCCTCCTACTCCTCCTCATCCTCCTTTTCCTCCTCTCTCTCTCCTCCTCCTCCTCTTCCTATCCTCATTGTGTTCATCCAAACCCCCCCTCTCCTCCTCCGAGCCATACCAGTACGCGAGGATGTGGAGACAACGCCAGCCATGGCGACAAGGGACAGGAACGGACCCCGTGGAGCTATTATTATAGGGGCCTTCCCACGGGACCGGTCCACGGTCCTGAATTACGCCCTGACGCCCACGGCCCCACTGGGGGGCTCTGGGAGGCCTGAGTCGGCAATGACGCCCGAGAAGGACCCAATCAGTGGATGGCTTGAAACGGGATCGATACATAAAGAGATCGATCAGGAGATCGGCCAGGAGCACGAGAACCTGGGAACCCGGAACCCACCGAGATCGGCCCGGAACCAAGGACCAAGAACCCGGGGACCCGGAACAGGGAACCGGGGAAACCAGCGCTGGCTACCAAAATCGGCGGGAAAGTGTTGCTAAATCTTTCAATATCCGTTAGGACACGTTCAATTCAAGCACTGATTGGGGAAAAATCTCCGGACCCGCTTCCCTCAGGACCCAAGTCCTTCATGGTGAGGTTTCCTCCTCTGGCCCTCGTCCTCCTGCTGAGCCACCTACCGTCGAGATATATTCACGACACACAAGCACACATGTATATATATATATACACATATACACACATATGTGTATGTATACACACCGGGTCGCCTGGTCGGCCGTGGAACTGTGTTTGATAAACGCCCTACCTTCTCAAGCTGCGGGATGCTAGAACGTCTACCCAGCAGCTGGAAACACAGCCAGCTGCAGACACATCCAACGCATCAGGAGGCCATCCGTCGTAATCACTGCTGGGAGGCCACTCGCCCGAAACACATCTGACAACGGGCGCCAGAAAACGATCTGGATGGACACCCGTTGAAACCACATCCGAAGGCCAGAGCAGGATCTCGCCATCGCTCGGATGTCCATCCCACGTGCATCTTTCAACTCCGTGCGTGTCTTCTTTGCCCAACGATCCAGGATGCTCCTCGATTCCCTAAGGGAATTTCCCTTCGGGAATCGAGGGAAATTCCCTTAGGGAATTTCCCTCGATTCCCGAAGGGAATTTCCCTTCGCCGAGAAAAATGCACACGTCCAAGCGATGCCAAGGGATTCACACCTGGCTGGGCCTTCGTTGCTCCCCCGCGCGCTCCAGGCACCGCGTCCTTCGCCAATCTCCCTGGCTGGGGAGAGCAAAAGGTACTGATACCGCTACTCCCCGGACCTCTCCCGGGGTGCGCTCTGACCAGAACTTCGAGGCGAATCCAGCGGTGGCGACGAGGGTTTCCCATAGGAGGCAAAAAATAGGAAAACGGGCGAGGGGGTAGAGGTATGGGCTGAGTGGGCCCTGGAAACGACAGGGCCGTTTTTTTCCCGGCTCCGTTTGCCATTTTTGTTGCCGGTTCCGACGCCGTTTTGTTTACCGGTTCCGTCGCCGCGTTTTTGTTGACCTGTGCCGGCTCCGGTTCCAATCCTGGAGCCGTTTTTGTTGCCGTTGTCGGTCGCCTTTTTTTTTGCCGTTTCCATTTTGAAGGGACACTTGTTTTGCAAACGGTGAAAAAACGGCCCTGCCGTTTCCGGGGCCCACAAAGGGTATGGGCACTCCAGATTTCGTAATAAAAGGGAGGGGGTCTGGACCCTCCAAGACAAGCCATTTCAGACCTCCCCCGTGGGAGAACCCTCCAAAACATTGTCCCCAGACCCCCCAGGCCCTCCAAGATAGCCTGGAAGAGACCCCCCCCCGAAATGAGACCCCCCTCCCTCTATAACGAAATCTGGAGTACTCTTTCCTCCTCCGCCTGGCTCCCTGGCCGGCCAAACCAAGCGGTGGATACGCCGGGCCACGCCGAGCCGCCGAGGCGGCCGCCCATGGTGCCCATGACGCCGGAGACGATGTTGGCGGCCCCCATGGAGAGCACTGCCCCGGGGGGACCGCCGCCCCACCGGCTCTCCCGTCGCCGTTCTCCCGTCTCCCTTCTCCCGTTTCCCCCTTCTCCTGCTCCTCCTCCTCCTCCTCCTCCTCCTCCTCCTCCTCCTCCGCCTCCCCCTTCTCCTGCTCCTCCTCTTCTCCTCCTCCTCCTCCTCCTCCTTCCCCTCCGCCATCCATATCATCATCAGCAGCAGCGTCAGCATCGGCATCGTCGTTGTCATAATCATCATCATCATCATCATCATCATCATCATCATCATCATCATCATCATCATCATGATCATCGTCATCATCACCACCATGATGATGAGGATGATGATCATCATCACAAACATGTTCGTCCTCCTCATCATCCTCATCATCACCCTTAGAATCAGTGTCATCGTCACCATCAGCATCATCACCATCATCTCAATCAACATCATTATCATCATCAACATCATCATCATAATCAGCATTAGCATCATCATTATCAGCACCATCATCATAAACATAATCCGCAGAAACTTCAGATTCAACATCAGCATTCGCCTCATCATCAGCAGCACGGTCATCATCATCGTCAGCATCGGCAGATGTATCAGCATCGTCAACATCACCACCAACACCATCATCAGCGTCATCGGCATCACCATCATCACCAAACTCATCATCACCATCGCCACCACCATCAACCTCAACCTCCACCTCATCATCATCAGTATCATCATCATCACCAAGGTCATTACCACCATCAACAACATAAGTATCATTATCTGTACCATCAGCATCATCATCATCAGCAGCATCAGCATCAGCATCAACATCAGCATCAGCATCAACAGCCTCACGATCATCATCATCATCATCATCAGCATCATCACCATCATCATCATCATCATCATCATCATCGTCATCATCATAATCGTCATCGACATCATCATCATCATCAGCAGCAGCAGCATCATCATCAGCACCACCATCAGGCAACATCAGCACCCCCGAGCATTTACTCTCTGATACTGTCCCTGGTCCTCCCGATCCCCGATGCGCACGGCCAATGTAACGCATCATACTCACCGCCTCCACGGAATGAGTAACCGCATGCCGATGATAATAAAGGGACCCCCCCCCTTCAGTGTTTAGAGTTGATTATCGTCGCCCTATACAAAATTCAAATTGGGCGGCGAGCGCTGAGGCCGAACTTCATTATCACCTCGAAACGCTATGTTGAGATAGCAACATCAAGCGATGTTGATATAGCAACATCAAGCGAAGCGATCACACTTTTTCAGGATGTGTCAAGCGAAACCAATAATTTTGGGAGGCAGACTCAAACGAAACGAGCAATGTTCTTATTATTATTCTACTTTCCTCTTCTTCTTTTATATTTCTATCTGTCCTCACGCTCGCCTGAACTTTTTTATCCCTGGGGTTGATTATCCATGGAAAATGAAGCACATGAGCTACCCTACACGAGCACTTAAAAAAATCAATTTTCATAAAGCGTTTGTAAATTAAAACTGATAGATTTGGAACTTTGGATTTTCCTTTCTTCGTCCTCTTCTTATTCTCCTCTTCTTCTTCTTTCTTATTATTCTTCTACTGTATTCTTCTTCTTTTATATTTCTCTCTGTCCCCACGCTCGCCTGAACTTTTTTATCTCTGGGGTTGATTATCCATGGAAATTGAGGCACATGAGCTACCCTACACGAGCACTTACAAAAAACAATTTTCATGAGAGATAAGCCATTGTTGAGGATATTTCTATGAAAACTAAACGCCAAGGATGTCTCAAAACGTGCTCGGCTTGGTCTCCTCTTGATCATCTCTTACTTCGAGATTATGCTGAGGTCTGCTGGGCTACTTTTATTATCTCTCCCTGAACCCCGAACTTTATTATCCCCTCGTGTTTATTCTCACGGGCATGAGGTTAGTCAATCCTCTCTTCTTGCCGAATGCCTGGCCCACCCCTCCCCACATCCTCCAACACATCGCAGGTTCAGAGCCCTACCTGCAGCGTGTACCTCCTCGCGCTGCGCTGTCTGATGGAGGACAACGGGGATGGAACAGTAGAGGCCTCCTAGATTGGGTCGGACTAGATGGGGTCGGAGGATCGCGCTGCATCGCCGATACATCGGCGATGCATCGGCGACGCACCGGCGATGCATCGTCGACGTGGGCGACGCATCGGCGACGTCGACGTGAAGCGAACAGGGCTCCACATCGAGCCACATCGGCGATGCATCGCCGATGCGGCGCGATCCCCCGACCCCATCTACTCCGACCCCATCTAGGAGGCCTAGAAACAGGGACGCGGGAGCAGCCGACAACTCTTCCTCATCACCCTCTTCTGTCGCCTCCTCACCTGTGCCGTCCCTTCCCGCATCCCACCCCTCCCGCGCACTGCGTGCACACGCAGAATCACAACAACTGTGATCAAATGTGTCACGTGCGTGTTCAACCAGACCGTCTTCGGCCCTTGATCGAATGATGCTCCCGCTGCAGCGCTGACAATTCTCCAGGATCGGCGCAGTGTTCCCATCACTCAGACTGGCGCTATCGCCTCAGCGTGGTGCCCACAACCCTGAATCCGACTCCTTCCTCCTCGTTGACGTCCTCCTCCCTCCCCCTCTCCAGCCCCCCCTTCTACTCGTGCTCCTTCTGCGCTTCGTCTTTCCTGTCCATAACCCCTCCTCATAAGCCTCATCATTCCTCGTCCTCCGACTCGTGCTCAGCCGCATGGTCCTCCTCCACGTCCAGTGCACAGAATGGATACCCTTCTGACTGCACGGGGACCACGGCTCTCTACTTGACACAGCCCCAACAGGGCTGCCCGAGGAAGCCTGGGGACATTTCCTCGCGGTCCCTGCCGTTCCCCCTCCGCGGGCGACGGCTTTTTTCGTGGTGTGGAGCCAAAGAGCGAGGTGGTCGACGGCGCGGCATCCGGTGGCGGCACGACGAGGACGCGGTGAGGAGCGGGGGGAGGGAGGAGGTCCACCCCTCTGCGAACGCCCTCCTGAGGCCCGCTCCCTCCGCCTCCTCCTCCGCCTCCTCCTCCTGCTGCTCCTGCTTCTCCTCCTCCTCCTGCTGCTCCTCCTCCTCCTCCTCCTCCTCCTCCTCCTCCTCCTCCTCCTCCCCCTCCTCCTCCCGCGCGTGGAAGGGGCAGAGGAGACTCTACGTCCTTGATCATCCTCCTCCTCTCCTTCATTCTCCTCCTTCTCCTTCTCCTCACTCTATACATCCTGTTTCTCCTCCCTCTCTTCCTCCTCTTCCTCCTCGGTCCTTCCCCAGCGCGTGAAGAGAGAGGAGGGAGGGAGAGAGGAAGGAGAAAGGAGCGAGGAAGGAGAAAGGAGAAACGCAGATGGGTGGAGAGGGGGGGAGATGGAGGGAGGGAGGAGGGTGGAAGGCAGGATGGACGTGGGAGAAGGGAGGAGGGGGAATGGCCGGGAAGAGGGAGAGTAGGATCAGGAACATCAGGAGGGCGCAGCTCGGTCAAAAACTATCGACCATGCCCGCCACTCCCAGCTTGCCGGTGCGAGAAAGCGAAGGCCTGTGATGTGATTGTCTATCCCTCGCCCCCCTGCCTGCCCTCCCTGGAAATTCAAATCCCGCTTGAAGGAGCTGGGGGCGGAGGGGGGGAAGATCTCCCCAAGGCACCGTGGGAGCCCCACGAGGCCTCCAGCACATACCCCGTTGAGACCCAGAGCCCCCTGAACTCTGGCAAGACTGCCTTCCAGGGTCACGATGGCCCAACTTGGACGCGGGACGGCCCACAGAGGCCCGATGGTGGCATCGCGATTGCCCCGGAGGCCACCAGAGTCTCCGAGATGGCTCCGCGGAGGAGCCCCATCGAGCATCACACCCTGCGAAATGCTCAAGAAATCATGGGTTCAGAAATTCATAGTCTCAGATCTTGAATAAAAACCCATCATTTCTATTAAAAACTTAGGATGTACATTGAAACGTTAAGAATAATCGAGACTCTGGCCGAAAACTCAAGTTTTCTTAAGCATCGCCTGAGGTGCACACCTTTGCAATCTCATTAATTTCTGGCATTCCCCATCCTCGGCAACGGTGGCCTCGATATGAGCGCCGTCGAGGGGGTCCAAGGAGGCCCCAAGGAGACTTGTAGACTTGCCAGCATGCCATGACGGTTGCCCCAGAGGCTCCCACCTCGCGCCCAAGACGGCCCGAAGACGGCTCGACAATTCGATATCACCTCAAAACTGCCCAAATACTCCTCCAGACAGCTTTCGGACGTCCGAAAACTGACCACGTTCCGCCCAAGGGACGTAAAACATTGCCCCTGGAGGCCCAAAGCAGGCCCGAAGAAAATCAGAGATGCGCCCAATTGTACTGAGTGGCAGTTGTTCGCGCCGTTTCCCCTTGGGGGACCCAGTGGTACAGTGTCCCCCGCCATCCAATACTGACCAACTGCTGCCCCCAGTTTGTTGACCGTGCCAGGAAGGGCGTGGTCGAAGGTGGGCCACTCAGGGGACCTGCCCTCGACACCCCACACAACACAGAGGACATTTCGTAAGTCCAGCATCCGTCGCCCTCCCATCCCCTTGGTGCTTCTCTGCACTGAGATCATAGACATGCTCGTCCTCATTGACCCAGTTTGTCCTGATACGAATCCCAGGAGGACAAGAAAGTTCGGGGTTCGGGGGGGGGGGGGGGGGAGAATCCAGGTTTCGTCCCAACAACTGGGATGTACGGAGGTAGGGGGTAACCCTGGGATGGAAAAACTGGCATGGGAAGAATCCCATATCTCTGCCACACGTTCGTGATACCGCTGCTATTCAACACAAGGGGATCACAGCTTCGGTTCGTACTTTCCCCGACGATAATAAAGTTCGGCCTTGCTGCCCCTCTCCCCCGACCAACTCCGTGTTGGCCAAGGGTAGTCAACTCTCAGGCCTAAAGGGTGAATGCTTTACAATCAGGCATTCGGTTATGCACCTTTACAATATTTCTCTTCCTCATCGCATGGCTATTCGCCATCATCACCACCTCCAGCACCAGCACCTGTACTAGCACCAACGCCACTACCACCAACACCATCACCACTACCATCATTATCAGCAGCGTCAGCATCATCATTACCATCATCATCACCACCATCGTCGTCATCACCATCACCATCACCAGCACCAGCACCAGCACCAGCCCCCGCACCAGCACCAGCACCAGCACCAGCACCACCATCATCATCATCATCATCATCATCATCATCATCATCATCATCATCATCATCATCATCAGCATCATCATCATCATCATCTAGGGCTCCCAACTTCGCGCTTCGCGCTGCGCTAAGCGCGAAGCGCGAATAACTTCGCGCTCTCGCGCCGCCCTCCCAAAAGGAGAATAGGAGGACGAGGAGGAGGGGGAGAACGAGGACCGCGAAGCGCGAAGCGCGAATAACTTCGCGCCCTCGAGGGAGCCCTTGCATCATCATCATCATCATCATCATCATCATCATCATCATCATCAGCATCATCAGCATCATCAGCATCATCAGCATCAGCATCAGCATCAGCATCAGCATCATCATCATCATCATCATCATCATCATCATCATCATCATCATCATCATCATCATCATCATCATCATCACCATCACCGTCATCATCATCACCGTCGTCATCATCATCATCAGCAGCATCAGCATCATCATCGCCATCATCGCCATCACTGACCTCGTCGCCATCTCCGAGGCGTCCGATAACACCGAAACGTCCTCACGACCTCCCTCTTCCGAGGGCTGGCGGACCGGCGGACCCGAGCCCCCTGCACTTGCCGATCGGACAACGAGCTCGTTCGGACAACGAGCTCGTCCCGACTACAGAAACCCAGCGAGTTGTGCGGTGACAGCGCATCGGCAAATACACTCTGCCGATACCGCCAGCGCGAAAATCGGCCTCGTGCACTGGGTCTCTACCGCCAGCGCCTAATGTGCCTACACAATGGGCCGAACACAGCCGCGTCCTGGCCACCACAAGGAAACGAGGCACGTCCACTGCAGACTACTCCAGATTTCGTAATAAAAGGGAGGGGGTCTCATTTCGGGGGGGGTCTCTTCCAGGCTATCTTGGAGGGCCTGGGGGGGTCTGGGGACGACGTTTTGGAGGGTTCTCCCACGAGGGGGGGTCTGAAATGGCCTGTCTTGGAGGGTCCAGACCCCCTCCCTTTTTATTACGAGATCTGGAGTAGAGACAACCGAAGTCCAGCGGCGGCGATCGGGAGCGGAGAAGCCGTCACTCTCACGTCCCAGCCTCGCACGCCGCTTTGGCACTACGGCGGCAGGGCACGAAGAAGGCCTCGCGCAAGACCCCTGCGTCATACTCGCTGAGGACTCCCAGGGGCCAGAAATTGCTCACACCCTCCGGTCGTGATTGGGTTCACGACGCGAGGATGTCAGGGTGCGGGGATAAAACATCTATCCCAGACCTGTTCAGGACCACGTTCTGACGAGAATTCCGACGCGGATCCAGCCTGGATGCCCCCCAAATAACGAAAAATAAAAACACCAAATTTGATCCCAGAACTGGAGAAACCAACAGGTACGGATGCCGCCGCTGATCCCCGGACCTCTAAAGGGAACCGCCCTCGAGACCAGAACTGCAAGGCGAACCCAGCGGTAACGACGAGCGCCTCCGGGCAAGGCCCCCTGCAGGCGAAAGCGAGGGAAGGGCAGCGGCCCCTGTACCCTCACCTCCTCCGAGGAGCCTCGAGGGAAGCCCGCGCGGGGACACCTCCGGGGGGACAGAGCCCCCGGAAAGACCCGCCTCGGGAGAGACAGAAGCACCGCTGAAGGGGCCCTGGGACAAACAAATAAGTAAACACAAACAACAGGCTTCCCCATATTTTCCGATATGTTCGAGGTTTCTGTCCTCCCCACCACCTCCCATATCTTCCCATACTTTTCCTGGGGAATCGACGAGGACTTGTGCCCGTGTGCTTCTGTCCCTCCTGCACCACTGCCACCAGCCAAGGGGGGGTGGCCGCTCCCTCCCCTCGAGCTGGCGGCACCTCCTCCTCCCGGGAACCCTCGGGAGGCATGCAGAGCCCCACATCATCAGGGGTAACTCGGGTCAGGGCTAACTCGGGTTCCTTTTTCGGGAATCCAAACCCGAGTTACCCCGGACCCGAGTTACCCCGGATAACTCGGGCGTCCAGAGCCCCACATCATCAGGGGTAACTCGGGTCAGGGCTAACTCGGGTTCCTTCTTCGGGAATCCAAACCCGAGTTACCCCGGACCCGAGTTACCCCGGATAGCTCGGGCGCCCGAGGCACGCCCGCAGCGAGGCGCCGCCAGCTCGAGGGGGTGGGGCCGCCACCCCCCTGGCTGGCGGCAGCGGTCCTCAGGGCGCTGGTGCCCCTCGGCGTGCAGCCCCTCCGCGATCCGGCACCGAGGGCAGAGGCTCGGGCCGGCCGAGCCGGCGCCTCCTCGGGGCCGGCGCGACGGGGAGGGGACGGCTGGGAAAAGCCCTGACCTTCCAGGAGGGCCAAAAAATAGCACCAGGACGTCGACTTCCTAATTTATGTCGAGGTTTGAGGCAGTCCAGATAGGTATAGGTCTGGAGTGATATTTTTTGGCACTCTGCAAGGTCAGGGAGGGGGGGGGGAATGGAGGCCTCCCAGAGGGGGTCACAGTAGGATCGGGTCGGAGGATCTCGCCGCATCGCCGATGCATCGCCGATGCATCGGCGGCGTCCGCGCGGAGAAGTCCGGGCTCGACCTCGCACCGCATCGCCGGTGCATCAGGCGATGCGTCGGCAGTGAGGCGCGATCCTCCGACCCGATCTTGCTCCGACCCCATCTGGGAGACCTGGGAGGAAAAAGGGCTCTGGTGCCTCCTGCGTTCGGGTGCGAGCCCGAGGGGGAAGCAAAAC